CGGTCCACTCGAATAAAGAATTCTCATGCCTTTCTCTGCGACTGACGTTAGAAGACGGTGACTTTGTTTGCCTTTTGTTCCCTCCCCCCCCCGCGTATTTTTTTTTTCGTTTCACGACCACGAGTATCACCCGTATCAGTGCCATCACTATCATTATTAATCCGATACCTTTCTCCTCATTCGCGGAGCCTGTCTAAATGATCTGATTTATTTCGCCTCGGATCAGTTCACTATCGTTCTTCTCTCCTCCCATCCCCCGTCCACCGGGCGGAATACGCGCTCAGGCCACTCACATTCATGGCCTTTGTTCATTCACCATCAGCCGAATATGTTGACCCTTGACTAACTCCGTATACATACATACATAAATATATGAGTTTTTATCTTGACAGATTCAATCTTTTGTAACCGGACCGCTTCCCAGGTGATCAGGGTAATAATTGGCGATTGATTGCCTCCCACATCCGTTTTGGGTTTCATTTGTGTCCTCGGACAAAACGGGGCTTCGTACCGACTACGGCCCGACACGTTCCAGCTGCTTTCTGCCTCTAGATCCGATCGGATAGACAGGACGCTTGCTATTATACTCGCTATCCCCAATCGACGGTGGCATCAAGCTGAGACGAATAGTTCTTTGTTGTGCAAAGTTCCTGAATCTGAAATGGTGGCTTTCAGGGATAGAGGTTCAGCGTTCGCGTTGTAGATGACAAAACTACTGGGTTCAGTATTGGCGAGTGAACAGATTCCAGCTGTCAGTAGTGTTTACCGCTCATTTTACCGATTCACGAAAAAAGTGACTGATTCTCTCATGAACACCACAGAGTTTTCACAACTATCAACCATGCATTTTCATGTGCCGGCTTTGTTTGCTGTTGTCTTTTAGTTACCCAGAGCAGGATGAAGATTGGAATGTTGAGAGCAGAGTCAAAGTGGACATGCAGAACTCATATCGACTGGGTTTGCAAGAATAATTAGTATATGCCTGAGCGTCACTGTTTACGACATCCAGCCGTCACACACAGTGTCTCTAACGTCCGCTTAGCATGACCTCGAGGTCCCCATCCAGGGAGCCGAACGGGACCTGTGTGACCCAGTCTCTTGGTTAAGGCTTTCATACCCACATGCCTTAATTAATGTCTTAATTTGACCGCCCTTGACATGTTTCTAACCACTTACTGCCCCGGCAAATATCGCGCGCTATGACAGCCTATTGTGTGGCATGCGTAATACATGTCCCACTGGATTTTATGGTAGTCGACCACTTGTCCCATTGAACTACCGCAACTACCTAAAACTCTACGCTTAACCTCAGCAAAGGTTTTTCGGTTTCCCAAACAGGCTCGTGCAGTGCAACGTAGAGAGCGGTGTTCGAACACTGATAGTCCATCTTTATCCTGTTTTCTTAAAGGCCAAGTCTCTGCGCTGTATAGCAGAACTGACCTAACTGCTGCAGCATATACTCGCACCTTCACGGACTGCCGGATGTCACCGCATCACCACAGATGTCTTCAGTGAGCAAATGCCGATCGAGCCTTCTCTGTTCAAGTCAGCACTTCACTCGCGATGCGTCCACCACCGATATAGCTGCGCAAATTATAAAACTTGCCCACTTCGTCTATTACTTCCCCAGTTATAGTGGTCTGAGAGTTCGATCAATTCAATCCTATAGCAACATTTTACAATTCGAAGGTACAATACGCATGCTGATCAATTGCTACGCCGGGGCACAAAGTATTCGGAAAAGTTTGCAAATCACCTGGGTCTTCACTTAACAGTAGCGTATTGTCTGCATACTCCAGATCAGACGGTCTACCATCTGGTAGCAAATTGATGCCACTATCCTCACACGAGGATACAGCTATTTCTATAATCCGATCTATGACAAAGTTTAATAGAAACAAAGAGAAAGAGAGAGCAAGTGTGGCGTAAGCTCGTACTCGACTTCGGTTGCAAGTGTAAAGGGATCGTAAAATGAAAATTACCTTCTCGAGCACACCCTTCAGAACGAGGCAGTGCCAGGCTGTTATAGTTGGTTGGTGTTGTATTTTCTCATTAATTTACCTACCTGTTTTATTCATTTTCACCGTAGTCATCTGTGGTAATTCAGGCCTACGAGATGACGCCTACCCTGGAGCGGCGCGTCACAGTTTTCGGACATGCGATCAATCAAATTTGAATGCTGACGTCAATGACACGCGTACGGCTTCCGACTACACGCCATAGGCAGATCGTTTCAGCCAATCCAAGACTATGCAAGCAGTATTGCAGTCCGATTGGTAGAAGCTTAGATAACCAATAATTTTCTTTTGTACATATTATTTGCTCGCCCCCCTTTCTTTCAATAAACGAACTACGTACTACTTTTCCTGTGGCCTTTTCCTCGCGTCTGGTTCACCTGGGATGTTGTGAGCTCGTGCCATTGCGGTCCAGTGCTTCCGTAATCCAGTCCGTGACAGCTAATCATTGACTCGTGTTCCATGATTCCTATTGTGTGGTTTGCTTTCCGAATTCCGTGCGTACTACTACGACTACTACAATCATTACATCATCCTACCGCAAGACTGGGTTGGTCCAGCACCCA